CCCCCCCCGCCCCCGCCCCGCTCCTCCCCAGTGTAAAAGCGGTGGAGAAAACCAGAGGCGACACAGGCTGTCAGCTCCAGGAGAGGATTTGCCTTCTGCCACCAAGCTTCCTCCGGTCTATGCTCCTTTCTGAGCATGGAAAGACACTGTTTGCAGCACTACTAAAAGATGTGTAGAGGTGTGGAGAAGTGTTTTACAAGAGCCTTGTAAAAAATGCATCTTCTGGGAAAGGGTATCAAGTTATGGCAAGATGTTTTTAAGGAAGTTGTGAGTTTATGTAGTCTTCATGGTCTGAGATAGAGAGAAAAGCTGGATGAAATAACCAGTAGTGTCCTCTATGAATTGTACTTCTTTAGCTCTGACTACAGTGGCAAACTGAGATGTTAGTATTTATTTGGTTAATTCAAGCAGAAAAAAGCCAACTGTATCTGTCTACTGAAAAATAGTACTTGAATACCTAAGTTATCCAAATTACCTGTCCAAATTCACTAAATAAGTGCACAACATTTTTCCAGGGGCAGCTGATACACAAGTATCTGAAGAATGAAGATGGAATATTTTAATGGCAGCCCATTCAGTGAATGTGGAATTCAGGCCACGATGTCCTGTTAACAACTAACAACTCTGGTTCCTAGAGTTATCAAAATGTTCTCTCCTTTGTTAGCATCTAAAATAATTATACCAGCAATATGGTCTACATTCTGGAGACCGCATCTACCAACTGCTAGACAACTACTTTCTCTAATTAAGTTCATCGCATACTCTATAGTTTACAGAAATAAGTCTCTCACTTTTAAAAAAAGGCTCCAGCATCTCACCAGATATATTTCCAGTAGGATTTACCATCAATGAAAAACACCTCATATTTCATCATCCTTTAAAACAAGTCGTTTTTGCATTCATAGGGAAGAGCTTGGCATGAGAGTACAACAACCTGGCTTCTTTTCACTCTAGAGCTGCAGAGGTGTGCCCATTTGACAAATGCCCGTGATGCCTTTAAAGAGGTGATTCTTTGAAATGAGAGTGATGTGTGAAAATCATTTTTTCAAATACCGAATTAAGCAAATATGCAATAAAATTGCCTATAACAGACCCCATAGCTGTCCACCAAAATCTGTTCTCTCCTTAACTGACTACATTTCCCAGCCTCCCTTGCAGTTGGATGGACTGGTGACTAGGTTCTCCTTGACAGAATGTTAGTGTTAAATAATATGGCTAATCTCGCTTTAGGACTCAGCTTTTTAGGAGAACGTGTTTTCTCCACATTCCCTTTCCCATCCCCCAGCTAGACTTGGGACCTGGAAACCATCCTCATTCATGCAGATAATGATACTCTCTGGTTATGCAAGAATGCCAGGATCCCTGACTCACAACACAGAGACACATACTTGCTGCCCTGAACCTCCCCTAGTCACTTCCATGAAATTGAGCTTACATGTGCCCCTATATTTCATGTTTTGGAAACTTAATCCCCCGTGCAATGATGTTGAGAGTGGGGACATTTGAGGGCCAATTAGTTCATGAAGGCTCTGCTTTCATGCATACATTAAGGCTGTTATCTTGGGAGTGGGTTTGGCGTCCTTCCCTCTCTTCCCCCTGCCCTCAGGCCCTGGGCAACTCTTTAGCCTCCAGAAGTGTAAGATACAAATCTGTTCTTTATAAAGTATCCCGTCTCGGGTGTTCTGATACAGCAGCACAAAATGGACTAAGACAACAGTGCTCAATTACAAATTTGGGGTTTTTTTTTATTTTTCAGAATATTTACCAAAACTCATTGCCCCCTAAAGAACTCTCTCTCTGCTTTACTGGTTCAGCCACCAGAAATACCTTCAAAGAATTTGGAAAGAGACAGTATAGAGTTTGAGAGCATGGAACCTAGTTTCCTCTCTTACTAGGTATGTAATTTTTGGAAAAATCATTTCTTTACACATCAGTTTTTTATCCCTAATATAGATGATTATAACAGTAATTATCAGATTGGGTTGTTTTGTGGGTAAACCATACACTAAATGTTATACAAGCATTAAATATTATTATTATAGAAGAGAGAAAAATATGGAAATATACACACTTAAATGGTAACAATGACTTTCTTTGGGATATAGATTATAGAAAATGTCTTCTACTTTCTACTCTGATTATTTGAATTTGTCAGAATATGCATTTTATTACTAAAATCATCATATATTTTATGACTATCAAATATCCAATAATTTTTTAAATATATTCAAAATAAGGTAGTTATCTTTTGGTTAATCCATTCATTTTTTTTGTCTGTTTCCGATTAAGTGTCTGTTTCCAATTAAGTTTCTGTTTCAAACTAATACTCCCCCAAGAAATATTTCATGACGAACATGAAAAATATGTACTCCAAAGGGAAAATATTAACTAACATGTTTCAATTTTTATTTGAAAACAAAAAGTAGAGCTGGTCATGGTGGCAAATACTTGTAATCGTAGGCACTCAGAAGCGAGGCTGAGGTAAGGCCAAACTGGGCAATAGTGAAATCTTGTCTCAAAACTAAAAAGCAGGAGCTAAAGATGTAGCTCGGGGTAGAGTGTTTGTCTAGCACACATGAAGCCCTGGGTTCAGTCCCCAGTACCAGAGAACCAAAAACGGTAAAAGCCAACTACCGGCACAAATGCTTAGAGCCTTGTTTCAATTCAACAAATTAAACATTTTTAAACCTGTGTGATTTATACTGAGGATAGAAGAGAGCAGTAGCCATAGCCTACCTTGAGGAAAAATATAAGTTGAAGATTGCTGTAGGAAAACTTAAATGTTTTTCTTTTCTATTTATTTATTTATTTGTTTGTTTTTCTTCTTCTTTTTGCTTTTTGGTACTGGAAATTGAACTCAGTACCTTATGCTTGCCAGGCAGGCGCCGTGCCACTGAGCTACTCTCCAGCCCTATTGTTTTTCTTATTTTTAAATGCATATTTTCTGAAACACCAGAAAGAAGAAAACAAACAAAAAATTAATTATAAATACCAAATCACAGGAAATAAGAGGGCAAGGAAGAATAAGATACAGAAAAAATAGTGAGAAAAATATAAGACCAAAGATACAAGTATGAATGTGATAATTGTCTCTTTTTTTTTGTACCAGGGATCAAACTCAGTACCTTGTGCTTGCCAGGGAGGCGCTGTGCTGTTGAGCTACATCTCCAGCCCTAAATGTGATAAAGTATACCATGAAACTATAAAAACTCAATTCAACAAGTATACATACTTGTTTTTTGTTTGTGTGTTTGTTTTTGTTTTTTGGTACTGGGGATCGAACTCGGGTCCTCACGCTTGCAAGGCAGGTGGCAGAACCACTGAGCTAAATCCCCAGGCCCTACATACTTGTTTTTAAGAGCCAGATCTCAAACACAATATTTTACCAAAGGACAGGCAAATGGATAGTAAATGAATGCCGAAAAGAAAGTATAGGTCACAATATTGATAATATAAAATTCAAAGAAATCCATTCAGCAGAACAATGAAGGTTATTTTTCAATGATGAAGGATAGAATCTGCACTGAAAATACAATTCTCCGAAAATTTTCTGGATTTCTGTTAGTCTTCTTGCTCTGTATAGCACATTACCACGATGGACCAACTTGCAATCACATCCACTTCTTATCTCGTGGTTTCTGTGGGTTGGAAATCCAGGCCCAGGCAGTTGAGTGCTCTGATCAGGGGCTCCCATCAAACCTAGATGCCAGCTGACCTGTGTTCCCGTCTAGAACTCATCAAGGCCTTGGGATCTTCTAAGCTCATGCAAGTTACCAGCAGCATTCACGCCTTGTGGTTGAAAGGCTGAGGTCTGTGTTCTTGCTGGGTACTGGCTGGGATCCGAGGCCCTAGAGGCCCACCTCAGCTCCCTGCTTCATGCTGCTGTGCACAGAGAGCTGCTGGCTTCTTCCAGCCCACCAGAAAGATCTCTCTCCCTCTGAATCTCTCTGACCCCTTCCATCGTTGACTTGGAAATTCCCTTTTAAAGAGCTCACCTGGTTGAGCTGGTCAGGACCGTCCTGGATAGACTACCTTATGACTTAAGATTGACTGATTAGGGATTTTAGTGATACCTGCCAAATCCCTGCATCTTTATCATATGAAGTAAACTCCATCAGGGGAGTAATGGTCCATCACACACACAGGCCCTACTCGTGGAGAGGATTATACTTCCCATGGATGCCAGGCAGCAGGAGCTTTTGAGACCACCTTGGAATCCTAACTGCCACAGTGTTGAACTGTTCCTCTTAAAAATAGATTAACAGCAACTGTTAAAAATGCAAGATGTGTTGTTTAAAATATGAAAACTATTTGCTTTAATATATATTTCTGTCTTTGACAGATTTAGTAGGCAAAACAAAATTTGACCTCAATATAAAAAAGCTAAATTATATAATTAGTAAGACTGATTTGAAAGCATATTGAAACCCTAAAAATGAAAAAAAACACTCAGTTTCTCAGTGTCTTATGGACTTAATTCCATTAGGTAAAGTGAAAATCACTGAGCAAATATTACATGAGACACTGTCTCTAAATACAAAACAATAAAACAGAGAAGAAAAGATTAACTAAAGCAATCTAAGCACTGAAAAAGTTTACTTTTTAAAATAATGCTTGGGCTGGGGTTTTAGCTCTGTAGTGCCACCACTTGCCTCGCAAGTGCAAGGTGCTGAGTTCGATCCCTGGTACCCACCCGCCCCTCAAAAGCACCTGAAATCAAAGAAAATAATACTGGAATAAGAATTTAATCACATGAAAGCTCTATCTCTAAAAGATTATAGAATGATAAGCATTCTAGCCAAAAAGGAAAAGAAAATAACACAATTAAGAAATACAGAAGAAATAAATTAAAAATAAAGGAATGATCAGAGTTACAGAAGTAAGTCAGTGGTAGAGCACTTACTGGCATGTGTGAGACCCTAGCCTCAATCTTCAGCACCACAAGAATTTTTTACATAAGTAAAGAATTAAAAAATCTGGCAGACTATCTTTATGTTTGACACAGCACCGAAGAATGTAGATTGACCTACCCTGCCTTAAGTGGTAATCCTTGAAGCACACAAATAAGCATCTTTTCTTGTGGCTTAAATTTGTCATAATAAGAATATATTACTTTTGTACTTAAAAATACATGATAGGCAGGCAAAGAAACAAGAAATAGTCTAGTTTTTGAAGGTTAGCTAGGAAGTGCCAAGTATTACATAAACTATTTTCCAGTGTCTTATACAATACATTTAAAACATTAATCATATATTAGTTTATTAAAAAATCTCAATTTTTATAGGCATTGTCTCTAAAAATTAATATTTTATATTAGTATTTTATAGTCATTGTCTCTGATCCCAAGACAAACCTACAAAATGAGAATTTAAAATAACTAAAAGGTTAATAGTTTTTCCCAGGCAGTTCTTTGATTTTAAAATTTCTTCAGTAATTATGTCTTTAGATTTGTTTACGTTTGTTTTTCTTCAGTCAATTTTGGAAATTTATCTTTTTCTAGGAAATAATACATTTTCTCTTGGTTTTCAAATTTGTTGGCATGAAATTGAACATAAACTTTGTGTTATTATTTTATTTTTAAAAATTGTTTCAGTACTTAAAAATATATATCCTTTCTTATTTATGTTCTATAGTTGTAATTTCTCCTTTTCTCCTTAACATTGACAGAATTATATTATTGTGTTATTGCATTGTTTTATTCTTCAATGAACTAGTTCCTGGATTTATTGATTAATTATATTAGTATTCTACTTTCTAATCTTTGAATTTTTGAGGGCTAGCTGATGTGGTTTTGTTGTTTTGCTTTTATAAATAATCCTGCAGGAAATATGCTTGACTTACGTCTTTATACCTTAGTGCTTCCACTTCTGTAGACTCCTAAAAGGAAGAACAATAAGTCACAAGGCTCAGATATTCTGAATCTTGGTGCAAGCTGCCGAATTATCCTTCAAAAAAGTTGTGCAAACGCCTTCTTCTGTGAACTGCGTATAAATGAACCTTCTTCACCAGACCTCCTCAACACTAGATATCATCTGTCTTAGGCATTTTCCTAGTCTGATATGCAAAAACATGACAGCTACCTACTTCCATACATAAAACTGATTGGGATGTTGGTCTCTTGAACAAAAAAAAGGAAGGTAACTATTGAAATTAATGACTAAAATGAGGCAAGATATTAAATTCAGAAGAGTACACAAGCCAACAAGACTGTGAAAAGGTTGAAAATAGAGAAGAAACCCGAAGACTTGTGGAATTTTTTGTTCTTTTGACCACAAGAGCAAGGGGACCCAAGAATAGAAAGGAAATTAGTTGAAGTTTTCTATGGATGTCCTTCTTGTGTATAATTCCAGACTGCTCCCCCCAGGGCCATGCGGAGGATCTTATCACAAAAGTGAGACCCTGTGAAAAGTAACAGGGAGGAGGGGAGCAGCACTTAGGTGAGTGGGCTCCATTTTTGAGGGAGGTCAGAAGAGCTGCCTGCCTCCCTCAGGGGCAAAAGTCCAAGGAAAGTGTTTGTGAGGAGTACAGCTGACCTGGGACCTGTGCTTCCTTCCTCTGGATCAGTGGCTTCCAGTACTAATTCAGGAAGCAGCAGAAGCAAATCAACATTTTCCACTCTGATTTGAACTAATACTTTGTGTTTTATAAAATATTTGCCTTTTTTCTCACATATGCTAGACAAGCACTCTATCACTGAGCTACATCCTGGTCCATAATAGCTTTCTACTCCTGAATGAATCAAAGCCAAACTTAGCTTTCCTCCCTTGACCTTTCTGCACAACATACCACTTTCTAACGTGTCCCTGGGGCCTCTCTTCTTGGTTCCTTTCCTCCCTCCCTATGTCTTGGTCATTTCCTTCATATGTTCTATGTATTTTATATCTCATGCTATTCATAGAGAAAATGATGCTCTTTCTGTTCATCCCAGTTTCATTTTTCATATACATAATCTAGTCCTAACCTAAAATACCTTCCTTTTACCAGAATTTCATGAGAAATATATGTAACAATGACCCAAATACACAGTATATGTTTAAATTCTAGAAAATTATTACAATAAATGACACATTGCCATTAATCCCTCTGAAAATACCCCCCTTGCTTCGAACAAGTTTACACCATTCTTGCTTTCTGAATAGGATCTGGAAGTCCTCTTTTGTGGTTGCCTGAGGTTGTGCTGTAGAAGCTGCCTCAACATTCTGAACTGATACAAAACATTTACCTTTCATGGTCATTTTGACTTTGGGGAAGAGCCAGAAATTGCCTGGTGCCAGATTTGGTATCCAGATCTGGATGAGAACACTCTGAAATGTTTTTACAAGCCTGCCCTTCCTTCTTTTGGATGGCACTTGGCAGCAGCATTCACCAAAGCTTTTTTCCTTTTTCTTTTTTGCCATACCTGCTTCAGAAAGTGACAAGAACAATGGGTAGATGTGTTAGAAGTGAGGGAGAATATTTTGAAGGGGGTTCAGGACAATGTGTTTTTTAGTGAAATAATTTTTAAAAATTTAAACGTTCACCTTATTTTTGATCACACCTAAGGTGTATAAATAACCAAAGACATCAACAGTCTTTGGTTTCTGTCAGTATAAAACAGATACGACTGATTTGATGAGCCTCCTGAGCCTTGATGGTTAAATTGGGTCTGGAAAAGGGGTTCGAAGTTTTTAGCTTTGGAAATTCCTCCACCTGCTGGCTGCCCAAAGTCAGGTCTGTTTATATTACATGGTGATCCGCACAGGTGTTTTGTGAGTTCCACCCACTTTTAAGAGTAACATCTTTCTTTGGTGAGTGATGATCCATTTATAAATCACTTCAGATTTCTAAATCAAGATATATGTTGTAAAGAAAATATATTCTTATGACAGTATACAATATTTAAAAGCAGACTAAATGTCTAAGTGTGTTTGACAACCACTAGGGGGCGGAAAAGCACTATATACCGGGAGCGACTCACTGCAAACTTAGCTACAGAATGGAGTTTATAGACGTTTCTAAATATTGGTACTGAAGTCAAACTATTGTAAAATTTATTTTCTATTTGGTGTACTGGGTATCTACTTTACCAAAGAAGACTTTGGAGGTGGCTTTATTTTTTACAAATCGCTTTTTGTCACTATATCACGTTACACAAATTTTATCCTAACACTTTAAACATCAATTTGACATTGTGGGGTTTGCCACATATTGCTTGGAAAAAAACAGCTGAAATAGGATGCTGAGCCAAAAATTAGCTTATCTCATTGAAAATTAGAGAAATCCATAATAAAACAACAGATTTGTAGTTATGTATGTATGTATCAAGAATTCTCTATCAGAGAGCATTCTTTCATTATATCAAAATATGGATTCAAACATGGTTAAAAATGATTAGCTACTTCCTGGCCACTTCTCCTCAAAAACAAACTTCTTAAAGATTAGAATGCAGCTCTTACCCTACTTCTTCATTTCCGTTCCTTCTTCAGTTAGCCCTTCACCCCTTCACCCTGTGAAACTGCTCGGATAAAGCTGACTCTGAGCTCCTAAAGGCTGAATCCAAGTTCTTTAGTTAGAAAGATCATACTTCAGCCCTTGCTCATTTAAGCTTAAAAGGAATTTATCGAAAAGCTATCACAGCTCCTGAAATTAAAGGAATAATTATAAGTTGCAAGAGTTAACCAGAGTCTCATCAGATAAGGCACCTTTGCTGCCATTAAATTTATCCCATCTTGGGGTCACTTGGCTTAAGTTTCCGAGTCCCAGATGAGTAAGTTCACTTGGCCGGGCTAAGGCTGCACGCCCATGCTGTAGTGGCATTCCTACCACAGCTGCACAGATGGGGAGATCGGCTATTCAGTAAGAGGAAATCGGGGTACTATTACCAAGAGGAAGAATGAAACAAGGAGGGTAGTCAAAAAAGAAAATGCCCACCATACCTCTCATCCTTCCAAGACAGACGCCACGTGGGGTGGGGACAGAGTGGCACATCCTGAGCCTTACTCGGGACCTCTTCCCCATGAAAAGTATGGTATGTGCTCTTCCCTACCTCCTCATGCTCCTGAACAATCTTATGGGCCTCAAGAAACAGACACATGGGCCAGGGATTTACCTCAGTGGTTCTGGCACCTGCCATGCAAGCACCAAGTCCCGAGTTCGATCCCCAGTACCAAAAAAAAGAACAACAACAACAACAACAACAAAGAAAGAAACAGACACAGCATTACAGTCAGGATGCCTTCAGAATAAACTAGATGAGAAAATAAAACTGTTAGAGATCATCACGGTGGGACAGAGGACAAACTAACTCCTGGTCCTTAATGTTGCTCATTAAAAGCATGATTTGTGTTTTCTTCAGAGGCAGTCAGGGAGTCGAAGTTGCATTTGCTACAAACCAGTAACTCTTCACTTGACCCTACAGATGCCAAGAGAAAAAAAAAAAAAAGCAGATGCCTAAAGGATGTAGCTAAACGCAGGATAAAGGTTTGCATCTTCGCCTTCATTTTGTATCTGCCTCCTTTATTACTTTAAAACTTTAGGTCAGGTCTACACTCAGCTCTGCATGTAGACATGTGAATTATTAAGGGAGTGTCTTCTAAAAACTGGTAATACAAGATTTATTAGTCCTAAATTTGCCTAAATGATATCACTCCCTTTCAGACTGAGGACAGCAAGATCAGAGACTTGCAGGATCATTCAACTGCCAGCTTTCACAATGTCCTGCTGCACACTCCCACTAGGCAAATGGGTGCCTACACGTCTCGTCATTGTCCTGATCCTGCAGCCACCCTGAATTTTAACAGAGCCTCTTGCAAAACAGGCTGCTCCCACCTGAGCAGGGGCAATCATCTCATGGGAATTAGGTTACACTAAGGTAATGACCAGCCAGACCCCATGCCACTCCAGTAAAACCTTAAAGGCTGGCCTCCTTCCTCAGCCAGTGTGATCTAATTAGAACTGTGTCCCATGTGGTACATCTTCTCTGAAAGCTAAAGTCTTTTCCCATTTTTCTTCCTTCTCAGTTGCCTGCAAATTTGCACTGCTGACATCAGTTTTAATTTCCATTACCATTGAAGCAAGGACCCACAGTGGCCAGTGATACTTTGCGATCTCTTTAGGGTTCTGATAGCAGATGTGGTTCTAGTGATGGTTAGTTCTATGCATCAACTCCACTCAGCCAGCAAATGCCCAGACTCAACATTATTTGTGTGTATTTGAGAAGAATATAAGACAGAGGAAGGAGAACTTCTTCCCATCCTGTTTTTTGTTGTTTTCTGCCTGCTGCTTGAGGCGGGACATCAGTCTTCTGCTGATACTGGACTGGAATTTATACCATTATTTCCCTGGGTTCTCAGGCCTTTGACTCAAACTAGAATTACACCAACAGCTTTCCCGGACAGCAACCAGTGTGACTTCTCAGCCTTTGTAACCATATCATACATGCCAATTCCTCATAGTAAATCCCTGCATCACTTCTGCTTCTCTGCAGAACCCTAACACGACTCTCTTCTTAGGGAAAGTCTCTCCACCTCAAGCCTTTTCCCCCGACCCTCAACTATTCTTTCCACCTCAACAACTATTTTTTCCTTCAGTATTCCCTTGGTCTTTGTTCTTGGCTTTCATTTCTCCTCATTTCATAGAATTTTCATCTATTCCTCACTTGAAGGACCACTTACATGCTTAAAACCCTTAATCTATTACCTTGTTCAGGTTGAGAATTAAGTACCTATATTCTACAGCAGTGGCACTTGGATAGCCCATGGCTGCCCCTTCTATCACCCAGCTCATCCTTCTGCCTTCTTCATTTCCATGCTATCACAGGATGGCCAGTCACCCCAGCCACAAACCTTGTGACATGTCTTTCTCTCCCAATTCCATTCAGTCACCAAATCTGCAGATTAGGTTTCCTTACTTGCACCCAAATGCCTCTTCGCCTTCATGTCCCTGATGCTACTGCCTTTATTCAGGATTCAGGTTCTCTTTATCTTACCTAGACCATAAGCTCCCACCTGGAATCCACCTCTTCAGTTTTAGACCATTCCAGTCAATCTTCCACACTATTACCGGAGAGCTATTTCTTTTAAAAACTATAACCAGGCTTATCTCCTGATCAAAGCTCCTCAACAGCTTCTGCTGCTTGTAAAACAAAATCCAAAATCTCTCGTGTAGGACAAAAGTCATAATCCGACCCCTCCTCTCTTGTCTTCCAGATTTACCTCTACTTGGGTCTGCCTTGGACTATGAGCATCAATCAGTGTGGCTATTTCCATGAACATTGCTTCTACTGTATTCTATCCCTGAGATCACATTCCTTGCCATGTTCTTAGACTCAACTCAAAGTTGCATCCTATACAAAGCCCTAGAATATATACTATAGTTCTTAGGTATGCAGTACACTATTTATATATATATACACACACACACACACACACACACACATACATACATACAATAAGGGAAAATGCAAGAAAAGTCTTCTTGAATTATACTTTGTCTTTATTCTGCTATCTGCCTTTGGTTTTCTGAATCAGGGGCTCTTAATCTACACATTGGCTGTCTTCAAAATTTGCCCATCTTTATCTTCAACGTTTATCATTTCTGTATTTCTTTTTTAAACATCATTTGAACTTCTAGATCTCAACAGGCACTACCTGTTATTTTTTTTTATGTTACTTCATTTTCTGAAATACTGTAATTTTTTCCATTGTTTCTAATTTTTTCCATGCTACTTCACTTCTGAGTTTATTTTCTTTCATGTTTTATATCATTTTTCCTCATGTAGTTACAGTTCCACAGTGCCATGTGCATATGCTACATAAAATTATTCAACACAAAATCCCCATGGCCAATAATCACAACATTTCATATTCATTCCAGGCCATCTTCATTTCTTTCAATTTTTTTTTTTTTTTGTACCGGGGATTGAACTCGGGCCCTTGCACTTGCGAGGCAGGCGGTGGAACCACTGAGCTAAATCCCCAGCCCTTCACTTCTTATTGCTTCTCCTGCCTTCTCCATCCCAACCTGGAACACTTGTTTAAAGATTAAAGCTTCCTAGCCACTGAGGTTTCAGCTCAGGGGTGGAGCGCTAGCCTAGCCTCCTGAGGCCCAGGGTTTGATTCCCAGCACCACAAAACCAACCAGCCAACCAATCTTTCTCACTGTTGATTTGAAAACCAAGTTTGCAAAGGCAAACCATTCTAGTTATATGCCAGCACGACTTTTCCTTATTTTGAATTCATAATTATACTCAGACTTGAGACTTTCAAGCATTTCATTGAAGTCTTTCCTTGAACCAGACTATTAGTTCATACGGACAAAATTATGGAACTATGTGAGGCGCTATGTATAGTTCACATGAAGGGGAAATCATGAATGCGCTAAGGTTCTGGGGAAGGAACCAAAACTGTCGGATATGACCAGGGTCTTCCTACAACAGAAAATAAATGAAAAGCCACCTATGATTTAGACAATGGACTTGAGGAAAAGCAGTTCTGCTACAATAGGAGGCCTGTGCACACAGAAGAGAAGATTTTACAGACACAGGGTAGCTCCAGTTTACAGTCCAGGTTTTAATCAGCATAACCTCCTTTTCCTTCCTTCACATTTGAAAATCTCTGCATTGAGCCATTCCATCTTAATGTATGCCCAGTTAGATAGATACATTCTGTTTTCACCTTCTCAGGAACAAATGTTAGCTGGAAGGAATGAATTTGGGCAGACAGAAACAAGTCCTGTGCCTTGAGACTAACACAAGTCTTGGCTTCCAAAAGCCAACCTGGCCCCTAGGCCCTCTCTTCGGAAATCCTCCTCATGCTCATCGGCAGTTCCTCCCGGGAAACCCTGGGTGCAGCCCACAGTATTATCTCTAGAGGTCTCTGGTCTCAGATTTCATAAAAATCGTGAAGGGGAGCTAAAGACACGCTAACCAGCACCCAAGAAGCTAGGCCTCCCACGCACCGCAGAAGGACCCAGAGCCACACTTCCGCCCGCCGGACTCCGCCCCCGCCGCACCAGGGGTGGGGTTTCCGCTTCCGGGGACGAATTGTTGACGCCTGCGGTCGCGGCGGCGGGTCGTGGGGAGGGGACGTTGGGGAAGTGAACTGGCGCAGTGACAGGTACCGCTGCGGGTGCGGTTGAGACAACGATGGCAGAGGCGCCCGAGGAAGCCCGAGGCCGCCCTCCCGGGCAGGACGACAGCGGAAAAGACCACGAACCGGTCCCCTCCCTGAGAGGCCCTCCCGCCGCTGCCCCCGGACCCCGCGACGGGCCGCAGGCCGAACCCCAGGCCCCGGGTCGGCCCCCGACCCCAGCCCTCGCTCCCGCCCCCCTCGAGGGGTCGGAGTCGTCGCGCGAGCCCAGGAGGCGCCAGGAGGCGGCGCGCGGCTCGATCGCCGCTCCTCAGGAACCCGCGGGCTGCGAGGCTCCCGAGGCCGCGGCGCCGCGCGAGAGGCCGGGGCGGCTGAGCGCCTGCGAGTACTCGCGGCAGGTGCACGAGTGGCTGTGGCAGTCCTACTGCGGCTACCTCACCTGGCACAGCGGCCTGGCCGCCTTCCCCGGCTACTGCAGCCTCCAGCCGCCCCCGCCCAGCTACCCCGTGCCCCCAGCCGCCGCGCCGCTCGGTTACTACAGCCCCTTCTACTTTCTGAGCGCCGGGGCCGCCGGGGCTGACCCCGGGGCGGCCGTGGGCATCGCCACCCCTGCTCCCGTCGCAGGCCTGGGGCCGCGCGCTGCTCAGGTACAGGGATCGGCCCGGGCGACTCCGGCGACGAGGGTGGGAGCAGCAGCTCCTTCGCGAACGGCGGGCGAGACCGAGCAGCAGGCAGGTGAGCCGTGCGGGGTCAGGTCGGGGTCAGGTCGGGGTCGCGGAAGGTGTGCAGGTTGCTGCCCGCTGGCTAGAGCTGGCGCGGTGTTTGAGAGCTGCACTCTGGTTAGTGGCTCTCCGCGTGCTTCAGCTGTCGCTTGCCCAGGTCTTAAATTCCTGAAACGTATGGCGAAGCAGTGCAATTTCTTCTTTCATTAGCCTTGGCTGTCAGAAAGGATTCGCTTAGTCGAGGGACGAGTCTTTTAAACGTGTAAAGAAACTTTTGCTCCTAAAAACATGCTCCTACCTTGATCTCTAGCCCCAGGAGAGATCCAAAGCCAGACTCGCCGGTGGCAAACCATAATCTGGTCTTTGGCTGATCAGGGAGAGTGGACCTGAGCGCATGTAAAAGATTTACGTGAATTCAAATGGAATAATCAAGCTTTGGCTGAGCCTGGCTTACTGCTCTTGTATATCGTCTGTTTATGTCTGTGTGGGAACGAGAATATTTTCAATTGGTTACACATTCTGGCCCATTATTCAGTCTTCTAATTAGACTTATATATGGCAAAGATGAGGTGCTGCCTGAATATGAACGTACTCAGAGTTGAGTACGACAGATTGGTGATCCTTGGGTTTATTTTATAGAAAGTAAAACAAATGAATTGGGGGTATGATGTACAGGGATATACTTTATACTAACTGTACTTCTGATTTTTACCAAAAGAATTTTATCACAAAGAATTTTTTTGGATGTGACCACCTAGATTCTCTTTAGTCTCTAAATGAAATGTATTCTTTACCCTATTCAAATTTATCTATGATGTCAACTTTTAAACATTAAAGTGGTGAAAGCAAATTTTAAATTGTTACTAAATAGTAGTGTTGCTGTACGTTAGTAATATGTACCTTGATGGAATCAATACCAATAATTCCTGCAAGATTATACATTTTTGAAAAAATATCAAGTTGTTCCTTAACTTAGCATTTCTCCTTCATTGCCTGACTTTCTTCCAGGGTCTTTGTGGAATAGTTTTCCTAATTTTTTTTTTTTTTAATTTGTAGGCAGAGAGTATGTTATTCCATCCTTGGCCCACAGATTTATGGCAGAGATGGTGGATTTCTTTATTCTCTTCTTTATAAAAGCAACCATTGTCTTAAGCATTATGCACCTGAGTGGAATAAAGTAAGTTAAAGACATTGGCAGAAAGGTTTTAGAGACCTTGTTTTGTTACATTCTATTCAGCCTGCAAATGACGGTATGGATAATAAGTGTGCCAGTGTCACGATTTCTTTGTAAGAGCTTTGTCAGATTAATCTTTTTTTGTTGGTATTAAGAAAAAACTCTCTTAATAAATTCTTCAAGACCTGTGGGAGATTCATCTATTAAAAGTAGGTAAAAAGGGCCAGGGATTTAGCTCAGTGGCACCATACTTGCCTCGCAAGCACAAGGTCCTGAGCTCGATCCCTGGTACCAAGGAAAAAAAAAAATTACCAGGCCGGGGATGTAGTTCAGTGGCACTGGCCTGCCTGGCAAGCGCAAGGTCCTGAGTTTGATCCCCAGTACCAAAAAATAAAACAAAATAAAATGAAATAAATAAAAGTAGGTAAAAAGAGCCTCCAAACCTGGTTTGTTTTTCTTCAATTATTCTCTCAGGCCAGGAACTATTATTGTCCTGTGTCCCTCTTATTGTCCTGTGGAGTATCTAAAAACAAAGGCATAAAGAGCATTTGGTAGGTCAGCTGTTACTAAGCAACTGGGGAGCGGAGCATGGTGGCCCACACCTGTAATCCCAGCCTCTGGGAGCCTGAGGCAGGATAGCAAATTCAAGCCCAATCTGAGCACTTTAGTGATTTAACGAGACCCTGTCTAAAAAACTTTTTAAAATTTTTATTCTTTTTCAAAGCCCTGGGGATATAGCTCAGTGCAGAGATTTGGGTTCAATCCCCAGTACGGGGGAAAAAATTCAGCTAGTGTCATTTCCAAATGGGGTTGCTTATGTCCCCAGTTAACTGTCAAGTGAGATGTTTACTTGAATAATCCTTTCAGATTAATAACCATAACTGCAATAACTTTCTAAGCATTGTGTGCAAAGCACTGAGTTTACCTCTTTGTACTGATTATTTAATCTTAGTACCACTATGAAGTAGTAGCTAACATATCCATTTTATTGAGATTGGACTTTGAGTTTATGATAAAGTGAGCCCGGAACTTTAAAAGTTGCAAACCTGTAGTCTAATTTGAGGGCCTGGCCAGGACTGAGTGTTACTGTGATCCAGCCTGTCCTTCCTACTGCTGACACATCCTACCAAGTACCAAGTTATGTTCAGTCTCCTGAGTACCTTTTAACCCAGACCATTTCTTGCTCCCTGCCAGACTTTTTTCTCATTGCTTCTCCCTAGTCCACTTAACTATCTCCTCTTTATAGGCAAAATGGTAACTCAGTCTCCTGTCTCATTTTTTAATCCAAGGCTTTCTCTCCTGCTGTTCCTTCTCTCTGGAACTTTCTTCTCCCTTCTTAGTCTGGCTAACTTTCCTCCATCCCTCAGCCCTTAGCTTAAATGTCATTTCTGAGAACCTTCACAAGGCTAACTGGTATGTGTTTCCATAGTCCATAGTACTCTGTTCTTTAACATTAAAGTTTCCATTGAACTTTATTTATTTATTTTTTTTGGTACCAGGGCTTGAACTTGGGTCCTTGCACTTACGAGACAGGTGCCGGAACCACTGAGCTAAATCCCCGGCCCCTTTTATTATTACTTAGAGTTCTGTTTTCTTGGTAGAGACTGGTGAAAACAGGTGTATTTTGAATTCACTCACCATTATGTCCTCAGGGCTAGTCTGCTCAGGATACTGTTCATGATACTGCTGCTTAATTTGATTTTTGGTTTTGTTTTGTTTTTGTATTAGGATCAGACTCAGGGCCTTGTTCAGTCCAGACAAGCATTGTACCACTGAACTGTACCCTCAGCCCTAGGGATAGCACATATAAATGAACATGCATTTTTTATTGTTTTTTTGCTTAGTTCAATCAACTAGTGAATGTTTTGTGCAGCTAGATGGTTGGGAACCTGAAGATTAGCTTAGACTTTCAATTAAAATGTATGACTACACTAATGAAAAAAAAATGACTGCAACTGTTTGAGTAATTCTTTACAACACCAAACTAATTATTTTGTGTAGGGACATCTCTAAATTTGCTATGCATTATATAATAGAAGAAATCGATGAAGACACATCAATGGAAGACTTGCAGAAAATGATGGTTGTGGCACTTATATACAGATTATTAGTTTGTTTCTATGAGGTAAGCTACTGACTGCACCAAAGTTAAATTTTAGATTATCAGCCAAAACAATGAAAATTTATAATTATCCATGTATTTTTCAAGTGTCTTTCTGGCTTTTTCTGTTTTTCTCAATTAATTGACATACTGTTTTTTAAATTAAAAAAAAACTTTTGGAAAGGAAACGGTCTGTAATTTCTTTGTAATGTTTTTCAGTCTTGGAAAAAAATACTATTAAGATTATGGTCCATAGTCTACTCAGATTATGTAGGTTTGTTGTGGAACTTGAAATGTGTATTTATCCTTAGAAACAACTTTTAAAAAATACAATGGGCCATGGAAAAATGTTACATAGTGCATATCTTGTGGTATTAAATGCATCAAGACACTGTGGAAATGAATTAAGTGGCTAACCTTGGCATACTTAGGCATTCTTTCAATTTAAAAATTTAAAACGTGAATGTGGCATGAAAACTTGTCTTTAAAATTGGTATAGTTAAGCTGGTAAATTATTTTTAAGTTCTGCTTCTTTCCTTAGATAATTTGCATTTGGGGAACAGATGGTGCGACCCCAGGAAAATTCCTGCTGGGGCTTCGAGTTGTGACCTGTGACACATCAGTGCTTATTGCACCAAGTCGGGTTTTAGTTATTCCTTCCTCAAATGTTAGCATTACAACGTAAGTCCTTGTCTCCTTTTCTTAACTTAATCTATTATACACCTATGAGAATAATATATTTTGGTACAGTCTCACACTAGTTACTCCACATGTATAGCCATGGTCCCATTAAGATTATGTTGCCTAGGGGCTGGAGATTTAGCTCAGTGGTTTCACTGCCTGCTGCGCAAGCGCAAGGATCTGAATTCAATCCCCGGTACAAAAGAAAAAAAAAAGATTATTTTGCCTAATGACTTCGGAAGCATCTTACGCTTGTGTAGTACTCTGATTTTTTGTACAGTGACAAAATCACCTAATGATGGATTTCTCAGTTGTGTCTGTCCCACTGTTAAGTGACAGGACTGTATTCAGTGTCTTGTCATGATATATTGCTTATAGAATATTGGTATTTTTTCTTTTCATGGCATATACTGTAATTAGATAGGCTTACATTTGCTAAGAAAGTTTATAAGCCTTTGAGTGTTAATGATTGTATAGCCCTCTTCAGTATATGTAATTCACAATAGTGAGAGGATGATTTGGGTGTTGATGCTCTATCAGTGCTCCATGCCTGGCTCAGCTTCGGCTCTGCGTTGAGCCACCATCTGGTAATACCCATTGTTACTTGTGCGGGCAGTGAGTTTGACAGCTGTGCACATTGGATGCATCCCACTCCTGCTTGTAACAGGCAGGGCCTGTGACACCTCCAGTCCCCACTGCTAGCTGTTGCTATCCAGATCCGGGGTAGCACGTATCTGTGAGTAGTGGAAACTGGGGCGTTAAGTGGGTGATGACCAGTTGAGCTCAACACAATCCAGCGTTTAATCCTGATAGTCTTAAAGATACTGTTGTCCCCTTTGGGGAACACAGCCAGTAATTAAAAGATGGGTTTGCAGCGTGGACTCAGAGCCCATGCTCTTAGCCACTGCCCTTTTTGGTAGCCTTTTAGTGCAGTAAAAGACAGAAAGCTAGCATAGGTTCCATAGGATAATTCTCCTTCTTAGCTATTGAAAGCTTTAAAAAAATTTTTTTTAAAAAGGCTTCTTTTAATTACTGGGTTCCCAAAAGGAAACAGCTGATCTGAGAATGGACAGTAATTTAAAATGCTAGTGCTCCATAGAAGTAAGTATACACGGTAAGACTACAGTAAGTATACACAGTTTAGAAGATACTGGGAATACATGGTAATAAGGGGACTATGGAAAAGGCAAGCAAAGGGATTTACTGTTTTATTCTAGCAAAATGAAAATATTGTAAGCCCTTAATTCATACTCTGAGATGTTTATTAGCACTTTTCATATGAAAGTTCTAAAGTGTTTAAATAGTCCAGGTGTTCTAAGCATGGTGTTAGTCACATAATAACTTATATAATGTTAAAATTCTCAATTATACTTTGAATACATTTTAAATACGTATTTGAATTTGATAGGATATACAAATATATGGCTGATGTACAACTTACTTGATACTTCTGATTTTTTTAGGTCCACCATACGAGCTTTGATCAAGAACTTTTCTATTGCCTCTTTTTTCCCTGCTTTCATCACGCTGCTGTTTTTTCAGCATAATCGAACAGCCTATGACATTGTAGCAGGAACCATTGTAGTAAAGAGAAATGGGGTCAGATGATGCCCCCAAAATAATGAAGTTCATACTCTGGAATAAGACAAAACTAATAATGTATCAAGGCCATCAGTATCCCTGGGTTATATTAACCAGTGATTTAGAAATTAAAGCAATCACTCCAGTGTGGTGCAGGTGGCCATTCTGAAAGTTACTGATTTTACCTGAATGCCAAAGAACTTTTCCAAAAGAAAAACCTGTTAAATTCAAGTGTTAAAAAATTTTAGATCAAAAAGGCAGCAAATGGTTTTCTAATAAACAGACAGTATATACTTTCTTTAGATCTAAGGCATTGGATTTTGTTGAAAGCATTTTCTGCTTTGAAATCTCCAACTGAAACTTTAAAACTTTATTTTGGTTTATCCCAAAATGATGGAAAATGTCAAGTTGTGTTTTATAAACACATAATTTTCCCCAGAAGGGGAAACTTTTTTGCAGGAGGGAACAAGAACACAGACTGGGTAATCCCCATGTCTCCCACCCCAGGCGCTGCTAACTTAGCTGCAAGAAAAAAGGGCAAGGCAGGCCGGCTGGCCTCGCACTCCCCATCCCCTACACTGTCCGGTCCGGTGTGGAATGCAGGTGTCTCAGTAAGGGTGTGATTTTACCACTGCTCTTAGTGCTTAAGTACACATTTTGGGCAAGTTTTCCAAACTAATGGAAAACTACTGTCCTGTTGCTATATTATCACTGAAATTTTTTAAAGAAAAAGTTAGTGATTGCTTATAATGGAGAATTTTAATGCTCTAAAATCAAACTGTAAATATGTGGAGAAAACTTACTTCCATCAAACCATTGTGTAATTACTATAAAACAATATTCTCTATGTGCAGCATGAAGAAAGTGTTAATGCTTTTCAGTGTTTGGAATATGGGTATGACTTCTGTTTATATACAATATACTCACATAGTTGTTACTTTCCTATTTTATACAGTTCGGTGACTCTTGAAGCATCAAGTTAAAGATGTATTTCATGAATGACTCTATAAATACTAGTAGCCTGTAAAATATTAGCAATTTTCCCATTATGAACTGTTCTCTCCAAAAAATTGGACAATATCATTTCCACACATTCTAGCTTCTTTTAGAAGCATTTTGGGCCTGTAAGAGATGAAGTTTTGGGGAAAAGATTAAGCAAAAAAATACTTTGTGAATTGCCATTTTACTTTATACTACTGAAGCAATACTGGTGGGGAGGTGCTTTTTTTTTTTTTTTTTTTTTTGTACTGGGGATCGAACGCAGGACCTTGCACTTGGCAAGGCAGGCGGCGAAGCCACTGAGCTAAATCCCCTGTCCTGGGGAGGTGCTTTTGTTGTATGTCCTAGTTAGCTGTAAGATATACCTGTACTATAATTTATTTCACTTAGTCATTTTCTCCAACTCTGATATTTTCCTAAAAACACTAAACTGTTCTGCACAGTTAAACATTACATTGCGTGAGATCAAGATTTTTCTCTTGGTCTTAAATTGGAAATGTAAGACTTCTGTTATCACTCAATTTTAAAGTGAGACTTTGACATTAAAACTGTGAAAATACAATTTAATGTTTATAGACACTTTAACAATGTCCTTATTAATAACTTTATTATAAAATCTTTTTCAAAATAATTTTATATTAAGTCCAACTTTACCAAAAGCTTATCAGTTAAATATATCAGAGTACTAAATAGATCATTCACTTGAAGCCTCTGGGAAAATTTAGTTTTACGGTGCTTCCCAGTAAAAAAACAAAAAATCTTTTAATTCTATTAAAAATTCGGAGGGCCAGGGGTTTAGTTCGGTGGTGCCGCTGCCTGCCTCACAAGCGCAGGGTCCTGAGTTTGATCCCCGATACAAAAAAATTGGGAAATATTATAAACTTAGCACTTAATCTGCACATTAGCATTATGTACTACCTTGCCACTGAGGAATTCAAGTTGAAACATCATTTAGTCCTAAAGCTCTAGAGTAGTACATCTTTGAAATTCTGAAATTTCTGCTCAAATAAAATACATAGTTGCCTATCCTGGGTTACAGGAAAAAAAAAAGGGTCCTGTTTAATGTTATACATAAAGTATTATGATTTGCTATATGTAAGTTGAGATTAAAACCTAGATCCAACTGTGGATTCAGTTATATAGCCCTGTAAAAGATTATGTGTTTTAAGTATTACTTTGCCTTCACAACAAAAGCCTAAGTCTGTTTCTATTTATGAATTCAGCACTTGGTTCCCAAAATTAGAAAACAGGACTAAACAATGAAGGAAAAGGAAATGTGGCCTTGCTGCCCTTTTTCTCTTGGGGAACTTCTCCTTTTGAAGACACTTTTCTACTTTATTTTACTTTTAGAAAGTGATCTTCTACGTATAGTAATTCTCATGTTGAAGCCCTAGCCTTTTTAAAAGGCAAAAGAAAGTTGTATTCATAATAAAACAATCAGTGCAATAAGTATTAGGACTTGAGCAGAGAACACAATTTCAGTAAGCATGTCCTAAGCTAAAATCTTAGGACTGATACAATGATGAGAAATTATGTTGTCTTATTGCTGTATTATCAATTCAGTTAATAAATGACTAGAAGTGAACTTGGGCAACTCAGAAATCTAACTGCATCTCTAAATGTACACTGAAGTGGCCAGTCCACCTTGAGGAGTCTGGCATATCAGTTAATCATGTTGAAGCCAGAAGGTGGGCCCCCGGAAGGTAAGTTTTGAGTGACTGCAAGCCTTGCTTTTGGGCTGCTAATGAGACCACAGAAATAAAGCCAACACATGGATAATAAGCCATCAATTGCCAGTATTATAAAGAATAGCCTAACTACTTCTCTGGATTGGTTCAGCAGTTGTTCACCCAGGTATTTAGGAATCTTTAAAAAGGCATTCTACTTGAGGGTCAGTCACTTTGTTTAAACCACAAAAACAAGTCTTCAGTGTTTTTAATGTATTAAATTATGGTAAAATTTATTTTAACTAGTAATTGAAAGGGTTTTGAGTGTTTTGCTTATGCCAAGTATTTCCAGCAAAGTGAAAGTTGAAAATTTTAAATTATTAGCTACATAGGAATAAAGAGCTTTTGAAGGAGGATGGAGTGTTACATGTTTTGACTCTGTATTTGTTGCTGTTTTAAAGACTCTGCATAGACAACAGTATTCCCTTAACCTGACAAGTAGTTCAGTTTCTTGCCACCCGCCCCCGCCAATACCAAAAGCGCCAAAGTCCTTACAGCCTGTGCTGGTATGGGTGAAATATGTGCATATTTCCTTACAGCTCACTGTAGGACCCTGGACCTGCAAAACAGTATCTGATGGCCCACTTACAAATACAGTTCACCATTTTGTTTTTAATTTGGATGCCACCAGTTTGTATTTGTCTCAATAAATACTTAAGTACCAATGCATGTGGCTTTTTTTTTGAGAAGCTTTGCTATGAAGACCTTGCTTTCAGATACAGCTTTTCTAATGCCTATAGTAGTGAAGTAGAGATTGCTTTGAGAAATAGAAGCCTACGAAAATATCCACTTTTAGGGATGTGTCCTTTCACTAAGTATGAGTTACTGTTACCTATATGTGAACTAAGCTTAGTATTAAACTAATCCGGTCCTTAAGAGTTGTTTTAGTCATCATAACCACCACAGAAGGTATTAGACAGATGGGCAGGTTAAAAACTCAATTCTGGCTTTAAAAGCCTTTCCTATTCTAACCTTCACAAGTGAGTCCACAAGGGAAATTCAAGAAGGGTAAATTTCAGTGTAGCAAAGTCTTGCATCCTTTAGACAATGTGCTATTAAGCAGTTAGCCACATACTGCGCATTTTGGAACTACATAGGACTTCTGAAAATTCTGTAATAGCTGCCCTATAACACAAGGAAACAGACTTTGTTTTATGTGCTAGAGCAGTAATGACAAACCTTTTAGAAAGTGCCCAAACTGGAACCCAAACCCACTTATTTACTGAGAAATGCCAACACTGCAATTAAGCCTGAATACCAGGGATTTAGTTTAGAAAAAAACTCCCACATTAACATCTTCTGGGGGGTTTTTGGGGGGGGGGGTACCGGGGATCGAACTCAGGACCTTGGGCTTGTGAGGCAGGCGGCGGAACCACTGAGCTAAATCTCCGGCCCAAACATTTATCTTTTGTCTTAAAAAAAAAAAGTGTACCATAGGTTTCCCACCACTGTGCTAAGAGTGTAGCCAGACCCAACTTGCTGTGAATGTTAACTACATCAAACCTATCATTCTCCACTAAATAACACAGGCTAGCCTTTATAAAATTTCCACTGAATTTCAAACTTTAAAAAGACCCAGAAAAGGATGCTAACAAAATGAGAGAGAACATGAACATTAGTTCTCTTAGGAGTTATGAATTGTTAAAAATTAATCTAACACTTTTATTTCAAGTAATACTATGTTACATAATTTCAGGAGGATTTTAAAGAAATATACAGCTTAAAAGACGTTTCAGTTGTCTGATTTATACTTCTTAATGCCTCAAACTGTAATTACCCAAAACAACCTAGCACATCCCTTAAAGTGATAAACTGGAACTTTGGTGTGATGTCTTCTAGGTACTTTCTTAATGATGCAGATTTTGGGATCCTATCCAAACCCAGTAAATCAACTGGTGATGAGGTCCTAGAACCAAAATTCAACAATGTACCAAGTAAACTTGAGAACACACTCGGCCAACCCAGTTATATAAATATAGCTAATTACTCAGTTATATTATCTGTACATGACTCCTTTCCTTTCAGAGATTCTTTTCTGTTGAAACTATTTCATTGGCCAAGCATGAGAAGTGGGCTTTTATTGTTTTCTTTCTAACGTGTTCCCCTCCATCCACAAGCAAAGCTCAATTCTCACTTGGAAGCAGAGTATATAACCCAAGGTCACTATGTAAGTAAAGGGAGTGGATCAGAAATGGTTCTCACCTGAGTCAGTCCAAAAAGGAGCTATTTCTGCTAGCCCTGAGGGATGACAGGTTTAAGGCTGGAGCTGCCACATGCAGCCCAAAGATTACAGCAATTGACTAAAAGCAGTCCTAAGTTCTGAATTCAATTGTATAGATCCTCAGTTTGGAGAGCCAAAAATTGTTTTTGATGTAAACCAGCTTTAAGTGTGGTTAGCAATAACTTGGTATTATGGGTTGTGTCTAGGTGTCCCCTCAAAGCCTCATGCAGTCAGTGGGGCTTTACAGAGGTGGCTGGCTCTACAGTGTGTGATGCTGGGATTAAGAGTGTGTGATTACTAAATTAGGCTGCTCATTGGTTTGGCATAGTTTCTGAGTGTGGATATGGGAAGGACCACTCTGGGTGTGAGTGCTACCCACCTTAAGGGCATGTAGCCTGGATAGAATATAAGGGGCAAAATGAGGTCTGCTGTTGCTGCCTGCTTCCTTGCTGCTTTGCTGCCTTCTTGCCTTCTGCCTGCCATGAACTGTTTCTCCTCTGTAAAGCCCTCTGCCATGCCACTGTGCCTTGGAGCCAGGCAACTATGGACTGAAACACCTCTACAAACTGAGCGAGATAAATAAACTTTTCCTCCTTTACCTTTGAGTGTTGGCTGTTTTGTCTCAGCAACAAGAAAAGTAACTAAGACACTTGGCTAAAAAGGAAACGTTAGCCTAGGATTTAGCTCAGTGGTTCCGCCGCCTGCCTCGTAAGCACAAGGTCCCGAGTTTGATCCCTGGTACCATCAATCAATCAATAAAAATGAGCTAGAAATCAGTTTTTTTGGTACCAGGGATTGAACTCAGGACCTTGTGCTTGCGAGGCAGGCGGCAGAACCACTGAGCTAAATCCCCGTCCCCCCAGCTCATCTTTAGAGAAAAGCACAAAGCCTAATATTCCCAATTACAGTGGTACCTCGGTTTATGACTACAATTTTGGGGAAGATGGCTCTTTTTGTGTTTGTGTGGTCAAGATGGCCACGGACATGTTTGTCACCCAATGCAGAAATCAGAAGTAAAATTTTATTGAACACTTTTATTTGCGAACCCAATTGTTTGCAAACAGAAGCATTCCTGAACCGAGGTATTACTATATATGGGCCTAGAGAATGGTTAAGAACAGACTTACAAGGTTAGATGTTAACTCCCAACAGTGAGACAGATTTCCAGTTACCTCTTCCAGTATTTACCACCGCTATTTAAGTATTATTATCCTTCAGCAGGTTAAGTGTCAAGCATGTAATGTTAATAAAGACTATTTTTAAAGTTCTAAAATTTACACTCCAACCAACCAGAAGCTTGACAAATTAAAAATGAGCACACAATAACTGCATTTAAAAAGGCAAATTGATAATTTGACTTTGATAAGCTCTTCTTGAAAGTGCAAATGCAGCATTAAAATTAATCAGTACAATCCAAAAGAAATTACACAAAAAGACCACTGCCATTTAAAAAAATGCTTGAGATCTGTAGAAACTCAATAAACATTGCCTAGGCATCAAGGAAGATACAAGTCCAAACAAATGGTTACGTGTGTTTATTTTCAACTTTTAAAAAAGATATGTCGATCTATGTGCAAATTAGGCAAGAATCCTAGCACCAGGCAAGAAGCAGGATACCTTCTATATGTTGCAAATTCAGACACTTTTCCCCTTCTCTAGGAGTTATCTAATTACTTAAATGTACTCTTTGGGATTTCTAATTGACCACTGTTTTAAAAAAAAAACCTGTGCCATTAATACTGTGTACCTTCATTATGAGTTAAAACTATAACAAAAAGTGCTTCATAAGTTTTTATTGATGGCGTTTATCCCATGGTTTAACATGTTAATTATATTGTAATAAACATGGCTTTAATATTAAACATTTCCTTATTATCCAAAGTCACCACAGTCCATTTCAGTAAATATAAAAATATATGCTTAATACTTTGTACAATACTGGTTTTTGGTCCAAACAAAACTGGATCAGAAAAGCCAATAAATTCAACTTTTAAGAATCCCCAATTTTTTTTAAAGATTTCCAAATGGATTTAGGCAACTTTGAATAATGGGATTTATGTAATAAAATCTAAGACAAGACTAAACAACAAAAAAATGTCTAACACAAAATTAAAATTTCAAGTTCACAGATTTATGTTATGCCAAAAAGGTACAGAAACAAAATTATATTTACAGAAGTTGTATAATAAAATAATAAAAAAGGCAAGACAGGTGATAGAATGAAAATATAGAAATAGCATATAATTATTAAATGGAGAATGAACTAGATCTAACAAGTCCTTAGCATGGACCAATTCTTTGATCAGGCTTTCTCTATCAGAAAATCTTAGCGCACAATACACCCAACTCACTCACTTCACACATATACCAGCACAAACTCAGCATAGAAACCATTCATTTCAATGTCCTCTAATCTATACAGAATTCTAATCTATACAGAACTCCCCAGATATAATTACAATTTCAATGCGTTCCAGAAATTCTTATCAATGCACATAGTGGTGCAGACAAAGAAGTTCTATACAAAGCCATTCACCGTGCAGGCTCTATTCCTGGGCACAGCCAAACTATGCCAAACCAGTGAATAATGTGCTGGATCATGTTTTTGCTGAAGAATCAGTCACCAGTCTAGCTATTATTTTTTTTAAAAGGGACTATAAGAGATGGGAGAAGGGATTCCATAAAGAGAGAGAAGGAAAATTCCAAAATTAAAGAAGTTCTTAGGCAGATCTGACTTCAGATAAGTCCAGCATGTAGTACAATCCAGTATGTAAATAATGGGCACCAGCTGTCAAAACTTGTGTATAACACCATTATGACCTTTATTTTCTGCGTCTAACAGCAGTCTTTATCTTGCGACCAGAAACTGAAGTTCCAGAAGAAGAGAACATATTTTTCCCATTTGACCTGTAAAAAAATAAAAACTTTATACTATTACATGATGCTCCTGGCAAAACTTCAGAATAATAGTTTTATTAAATATGAATGGCAATAAGGGGGAGGAAGACAGGAAAAGGTACTGTTAAACACATTTTCTGCTATTCGTGACACAAACACATTACTGCTTTTTTCCTCAGGCTATAATATAATCTTCTGAACTTAATAAAGCGAATTCATGTTGGCAAATGGAGAATAAATGTAATTTTACCAAACAACACTGCATCTTGAGGACGTTTAGAAAATGAAACACATATAAGCACACACCAATGTAAAACTCACATTTTAACAAAACATTCTCTTACCCTACTGTAAATGCTGCTGACGACTGGCTAAAGGGAAAGCTCCCTGAGCCTGAAGGCTGGGCTGAAGCTGCAGGTATACTGGGATTTGCACCAAATGTGAACACTCCTGATGGATTATTGTTTGTGAAGTTGAAATTGGTAGTGCTGCTGCCAAATTGGAAAACCGAACCTACAACAGTTGAAGCAGAAATACTTCATTAAT